ACTTGAGTGGGCTATTTTTAACAAATGTACTGTATGTTTTTCTTTTGTTGTAAATGTTCCCTTATCTTTTTTTAACATATTACCTTTGTCTAAATTTGCATGTTTCCATATTTCACTGATGGGAATTTTATCTTGGAGGGACAGTAAATGATTCTATTCTATTCTATAAAGGAAAACTTTCCATCTCTTTCTTATTGTTTACCTCTACTAAGTCCAACTTTGAGCTTATGCAGTAGCAAGTTCAAATTGCTCTCATTTGCTTTACTTGAGAGAGGGTTTGAATCACCTTGAGTTTAGTGAGGACATAAGCTTCTTTGTGAATCTAATCCACATATAAAGAAAATAGCGGAAGCAAAATTCCTACAGAGGATGGAGGTAATGTCACTGATTTGTGAATTGTCAAGTCAATTTTTAATAAAAGTATGTTGGAGGAGTTCTGAGTCAAACCTGATTGCCTCTTACCAACTAGGCCGGTGGTGTATCCTTGTTGCTGCAGCCTCTTAGCAAAGGTAGTCTCATGAGGTGGAAGTCCACCTGAACCTCCGAGAAACAACAGTACCTGGACACGGCTTGTGCTGGCCATCCCTGGTCAACACATATGAACACAAAAACAAATTACATAAAAACTGATGGAATCTTGCATGTGGTAGATTTAACTACACATTATCATGTAAATGTTTGGCCATGAGAAGGAGATCATTTACCTGAACGAAGTGGATAACGGCCTGTCATCATAGCGGCCCGGCTTGGAGTGCAGAGAGGAGCTGCTGCAAGGTACTGGGTCAGTTTTACTCCCTCTGAAGCCAGTCTGTCTATGTTGGGAGTTCTACAGGAAGAATATTAAATATAAATAAAGAGTAATATAAAAAGTAGTATAAGACAAATATTATTTTGTATTATACAATTGTTTTAGAAAACTTGGTACGAAGATCAGATGTAATTACGCACAGCTAATCTGACTGTTATTGGCAGCCTGGGTGATTTGTTATTTTTCTGAAGCAGCATACTCTTTAATTGAAAAATGTGCAGAACATATTTTTTCCCATTTGTTATCATCCTACTCACTGTGAAAGATGACAGTATAAACTTGCCTCTTCGTCTATCCTTGTTTATTACAGTTCCAGATTTTCCAGATTCCAGATTTTTTTCATATTTTTCATATTGGAAGTGCAGGTGAGTGGCTTTTTACTTGTACAGTCATTTCTTGATTTAAGAAGCTCAGTGAACTTTTACCTAAATCTTCTGTTTTTCTTTCTGTCCCATTTTGAGGAGTAGCTTTGTCACAGTTTTAGTTGTTTCAAACGTTTTCTGTAAATATGGGCAAGTTTAGATGAAAATCAGTTTTATCTAAGTAATACTTTTTCTTGCCCTTCCAATTTTAAAAAAGATACTTTGATCAATTTAAATATGTCTATTATATTAAAATAAAAACAGCTTCAGTTAGCTACATTTACTTGCATTGTTCTTATTATGAATCTATTTTATTCTTTAAAAGAGTTTTCTAACATTTTTCAATTTCCCCGATCTTTACTGACTACATCAAAAATATGGATTGTGTATGGTTTACCTGATGGTATCATTGCCATAGCAACCTATGTCCCCAATCCCGAGGTCGTCCACCATCATGAGGACAAAGTTGGGCTTCTTGTCCTCCACCTCCCCTTTGACATCACTTCCTGAAGCCAGGAGCAAGGAAAGAAGAAGAGGTGCCAGCATGGCAGACCTGAGTAGAAGATAGTCATTTATTACTCCTATTTTTTTGTCTCTTTTTTCCAAAAGTTACGCCGTGTTAGTTTGGTTGACAGAAACTTTTATATTTTGCAAGAAAAGTTGTTTCAACTTCATTTTTATGTTGTCAAAACACATTGCATGAACTACTTGCGTAGCCATTCTGCAAGTGATTTTGTTTCGCGTCTAAAGTGCAAATCATTACGGGGATCTTTTAAAGACTGCATGTTATTGAGTAATCCCATCACATGAAGTGAATATGAACACTTCTTATGTAAGGCAGGAGCGCCCAGATTCAGACACACTGTTTTACAACACCATTTGAAGTGTGAACACTTGCAGAGTCCGCACGGCTCGAAGAGCAAATGCGCGGCGATTAAATGCAAGCCGTAACGAGAGTGAATAAAACTGAATGTCTCCCGATTAACTGCGGCGTTAAAATGCATTTAAACTCCTCGCAATTCAAACTCACCTCAATAAACCTACTATACGGTCAAAGCTGTTCCTGCTCTGCTCAGGTTCCGCCTCCGGGACTTGACAGTAATAAACATCACGAGCGCGCAACACTTTTCAGGCTCCCGTAAAACATGTAGCTCATGCCCCATCAAGATGTGGTCAGTTTTAAAATAGAACAAATAAAAGGTTAAAACAATGAAAAGATAACAGAAACGTTTCATTTAAATGTTGTTTTCACAGCTGTGTTGCTAGCAGACAAAATAATAATCAGAACCTACAAAACTGAGGTAAGTAGGCTACTTTTGGGGAATATTATTGTTATTGGACAGAAAATGGCAGGAGTGCAAGAAAGTATATTACCTCTGTGGTCATAGGGAGGAGATGTGCAGCATTTTAATTCGACAAAAATGTTGTTCTTGATATGAAATAATGAGACTTCCTTTGCAACAAATACATCTTGATAGTTTAAGATGCAGCAATGAAACCCTTCCTATAATTTGTGACTGTCTTCTGGCATATTTCCACTGGTGTGTTGATTATTTATCTCCGGTTAAACATTTTGTTTAAGTTACAATGCCTTCTTGCCATCACTTTAATTGTCATTAAAACAATGTATAACTTCATGACTTTATAGATCAATGTAAACCTGGATTTAAATTATGTGCACCTAAGTAATTAGAATATTATTGAAAAACTACATTTATTTCAGTTTTTCAATAAAAAGTACACTCATTTTCTTTAAAAAAAATTCTTAGCTAAAGAGTGATATTTGAATTTCAGGTAATTGTAATAATTATGGCTCATAAGAAAAAAAATTAAAATATTACCATATCAGAAGAAAGTAGAGTGGAAGGAAAAAGTGTTTTCAAAAACAGAGGAGAGGTAGAACAGAATAATCAGGACCTTGTTGTACTGCCAAGAGGAATATGTACGATGCCAAACCAAATAAGCCAGACAAAAAGACTGGGATTTCTTAGCAACGCGCAGTTTTATTACTTTCTTATCAAGCTGTCCAACAAGTTTAACAGCCCGATTATCAAGCTTTCTGTTAGCATTTTGAAGACAGAGAGAACCAAACTTTTTTTCTGAGAGATTCAAACATAACAGAAATGTCTTGTCAACAGTATTCCAACATATGATCCATTCTCTGAGACCAAGACAGAAAATATGAATTGGCACTGCTAGCACAATTTGATCATTGTAAGAGAGCTTTATCTGTATTAATATGAGTCAGTTTATTTAATACATATAGACAATCAAACCCTTCTTCTTTAATTCAGTATGAGTCATGTGAGAGAAATTTCTGCCTCAATTATTTATAATCAAAGCAGATCTATTAGTCATCACCAGGTTTCTGTTTGCACTCCTAGTACTTGGTTAGAAAGGATGGTTTTGTGTGGGTGCAGCAGCTTCAGGGTACGAATAAATAGGTGCGCATGTAAAGGCATCAACTTGTTGTGCAAGTTGAACCTCAAGCAAGTTCCCACACTTCGTTTCTAAGGCTCTAATCAGGTGAATCTTTATAGGCCTGTCACCATAAATCATTCACAGAACTTGCACTTGTTATGTATGCGTTTCCATCTAGAAAATACTTGACATTCCGACTCTTTTATTCAAATCGCTTGTGGTTCAGTTATTTTTCTATTCCTCATGAGGTCTATAAACTTTTTGACAACTTGAAGGCACTGTAAAAGTAAAAAAAAAAAAAAAAAAGAAGAAACACTCATGCATAAGTGCAAACTTTACATCAATAAATATTTCCTCAAGAGTTTGTGCGCAGGATTATATTGGCTTCGCAAAGCCTTAGTCATAAACCGTTTGTATGCATGGATCAATTTTTACCATTATTGTCCTTGGGGTGCATGCCTCAGCAACATTATGACAGGCTTCTAAGAAGTGTGTAATGTGTGTTCAAAAGAAGATCCACACTCTTAGGCTGTAATTTTCCAATAAACATTAAGCAAAAGTCCAACTGAGATCTATAAAATTAAAATAACAATAAAGTTAAGGGACAACCAACAACTAACAGACAATTCAAGGGTTTGCCGTTATCAACCCATAGTAGTGGTGTGAGCTCAGTGACAAACTAGAGTTTTGCTATATAATGCCTTGTTATTATCAGATTTAGATTTTTCTCATTTTGACACATTTAAATGTTTTAGGTCACCAAAAGCAATTTTATATCAGACATTGATAACCTGAGTAAATAAAACATGCAGTTGATTTTTTTAAAATTACTTAACAAAAATAAAAACAATAGTGATGTAACTATAAAATCTGAGAAAGAAAAGGAGTACTTTCTTATGTATGGCAATTACAGTATATTCAACTAGTGACTGTTTTTTTTGCTGTTGTTGTTTATTTTGCTTTTTTTTCTGAAAGCTTAACAAAATTTCTTCAAGTTAATTTTCTAACATATATGGGATGCAAATCAGGCTCTTGATAATTTGTAACTCCTTTATCTTTAACCTTTTTTCAGGGACAAATTATAAGTTGAGAGATTAACTCAAATGACATTTTATGGACAGGTGTAGATTACTCCTTTATTATTTGTTTATCGGCGCAACAGGTCAAAAGTCTAGAGGTGATTCAAAAGGCTTTATCATCGTCTCATGCCTGTTGCTTGTGAAAGTCTGATGTGCAGTGAGGAGAGAAGTTAATTCAAAAGAAATGGACCATCATCGAGATTCTCCCACTGATGTCCAAAATACTCAAATATCACTTGATCTTTTTTTTCGTATCATATATCTTTGCTGGTATTCTGTAGGGGAGGAAAACATAAAACAAGAGACAAAACACACAAACCAACCAGAAACTCCCACGAAAAGTGTTTAATCAACTTGTCAAACATTATTTACACAATTCCAGACAAGCACAAGTGCTTGAATGACATTGAAGAAGACAGTTCATACATGAAATATCAACATGGAATATTAAATTAACAGGAAAAGCTTTACACTTGTTTAAATGCATTTAATAAGTCAATGTGTATACAGGATAGGAAAGTGCTTCTCCAATTGAGAATGTTCTTACAAAACAAAACAACAAAATCTCTGCTCATCTTTCTGTTGATGTTGACACTGTTCTTTTGTTTCCCTCTCAGAAATATTCAAGATGATATAAATGATAAGGCAGCACTGGTTAGTGAGATGTTTGATGCCCTTTTGTTTGATCTGGAAAGTGCACTTCAGGACCCAAAGGTTTACATTCTGGTTTGGATGCTGCAGTCTGATACATTGTGTCTTTTGGGACTTTTAGGGAAAAAGTGTAAAGCAGATTAGCACTGAGGAATTCTCTTGTGTAGTAAATGAGTCTGAATTTACACTGCAGGACATCAGAGTGCTTTTGCTGAAACTTAAAGCATCCAGTGGAATGTGCACAGAAGGGGGAGAGTGCTGCACTTAAAGGAAGATAATTTGTTTTGAAGGCATCAATGGTTATCTAAGAAAGCTTGTACTGTTATACAATGGAAAGTTTGTGCATTTTCACTCTATGCCAGACATATTATCTGCTTGCTTTAACATCTCAAGATAAAATTGTCTATTGTCTATCAGTGGTTACAGAGTAAGATGGCAGTTATCAGAGCATCAAACTTGTGTTCATAAAAACAATTCATGTGACATCACAGACTATTTCTCAGCTCAAGGCTAGGCTGTTAGCAACAGTCTCTGTCCTGTATTGCAGCTATGTAGTGTTTTCCAGCTAAAGTCTCAGGAACTGCGACACTATACAACCAGTATAACCACGTTATTTTGTTTAAAAGAAGTACAGAGAGTACAAAACTTCAAGGCAAAAGAAAAGACATTCAGAAGTTAATTTGTGCTACAGTGGCAGGAGACAGAACAAAAAGGCAGTAGCGTGGCATCTTCTGAGACATTTTCACAACAAAAAAAAAAAAAAAATCACAAAATACCACAGGAATTTAGTTAACTCAAAAAACCGTCAGTGTCGGCTCAGAGGCACCACTGCCAAGATGGTAGAAATCCATATAAAGGTCACAGGTGAATGTTGCCCGTGCATGAATGATACAAAAACACTGACAGCACTAACTGGCTTGTTTCAATGAAGAGACACACACTCAGGACATCTTTGCACATAAAATCTGATCAAGTTGGTAAAATTTTTTTTTGAAAAAACAAAGCTGGCCTGCTTTAAACATGCTGTTTGTTGCTGTTATCACCCTGTGTGTACCATACCTTCAAATTCATTTTGTTTAAATTTTGAGCACCATGCAGCACGTTCCTCTTATTGTTTTGTGTGATTCACTTGTTTTGATATCACTAGTCCATATGTCTTCTCTGTGTGCCTTTAGATTTCTCAAGCCAGGCTGTGACAGTGAAAGGCACTATAACAAAGAAATCACTGCATCTCAACTACACATACTACAGAAAAAACAAAACAAAACTAACAAAAAAAAATGCATCTACATAATTACAATCTTTTTTTTTTTGTCACTTTTTCATTGTTAGGTGTCCCTATGAGTTTTGGATTAAACTTAGGTGGATTTAAAATATTGGGAAAAAAAGAAAGAAAACAAAACAGTAACGATTACTGCATCATAATACTCCTTGAGCCTTTTCATATTTTGTCACATAACAACTAATATTTTATTGTCCACAAAGAAACATAAATAGTGTGATTTGCATTTAATCTGATTCCATAAAATACAATCAAGAAAACTAATGAACTTCTGAAAACTCTACTGTATGTACTTTAACACAATAATAAAGTTGTAGAGATGTTAAAAAGCTTTAATTTAGCTCTAAACTTCTCACTAAATATTCAATCTATCATCTATAGAAGAGTTTTGACTTAATTTAAAAGTTTACGAGATGTCTTGTAGAGGACACAGTAAACATCCTGTTCTGCTCAGTTGAGAAGACAGCTGACCATTTTGACCAAAATGCAAGTAACAATATTTTTTACAGATGACACTAGATTAATGGCCTAGACATTAATCTAGGGAAGACTCAAAAATGGATGTACCCCATTGAATCTGAAAGTTTTAAGGTGCTTCATCTTCACAACTGTGCTTTGCTTTGATCTAGTCTGTCATGTGAAATCTCGACAAAATACATTGAAGATTGTGGTTGTTATGTGACAAAAAAAATCAAAGGGTATGAACTGTCTGTATCTGATTATCATCTATTTCAAAGGTCAATAAGAAATGTCAACGACTAATTTATTCAGCTGACGGAGAAACGGCAACTGAACAAGATTTAAGTCTGAGTCCCTTCACCAGAGAGAAACAAAACAAAACAGGACAAACTAAAGAAAACACAGAACTACAGTGATGCCGTTGGTATTCCAAGCACATTATAACCTAAATCAGGGCATCCCCCTAAAACTAGGAATGAAATCCTCTAACACTTCTCCCATGTCAAAATTCACAAAGTACAGTGATAGTAATTCATGCCACTTCTTGTCCTCTTATCCTACACTTTTACAAGAGATAACTTATGTTATATATATTTTTTTTCATTCTTTAGGACATTTGTATACTTTCATTATCATATGTTTGGCTCAATAAATGCAAAAAAGTACTAGTTCAATACATACAATATCACTCTCGATTACTGGTTTTGAATTATATTGAATTACCAGAACAATGTAGTAGCCATCTCAAATAAAGGAAAAATGTTGCAGAGTTGGGATATTTTATTGTTACAGTTGATATGAGATTTAATCTCTTTGATGGCAACTTGGCAAAAAAAAAAAACAAAGTTGGATTTTGATTGATCATTTTAATAAATTGCCTTGTTGGAATGACCAGAAACCACTAGATCTTTATCTAACTCCTTTGCCCCCACAAGAAGGAAGACACACACACACACACGCACAAGCTCATGCAAACCAACACACACTTACACGATGAGAAACACACAGGCCTACTCTGGGGCCTCACAGTAATTTAGCTCTTCGGGGCAGAGCCTAACAGTGAGATTGCCTCTGCTTGAATGAAGTTGGCCCAGGCTAGTCAGACGGTTGTTGATTGGAGTTTTCTAGCAGGGTGTTTTGTTCTGCATAAAATAAAACAATTGAATGTTTGAATGTTCTGAATGTTTGTGCTCACTTATATTTGGTGAATGTTAATCAGTGTTTCAGTCATACCATGGGGTTCCGCCTTAACCTCTGCTGCAGCTGCTTTGTCTTCTCCAGTCTCAACATCTGGTTCTAATTGACAAAGAGTGAAAAAGTCAGTTAAAAGAAAACAAACAAACAAGTAAAAGAAAAGGAAACGTTGCACCATAAAACTTCAAGTCGCTTACTAATCACGTTCCTGCCCATTAAAAAAAGTTGTACAATGTTGTGAATCATGAATGTTCAAGTCCAGTCCTCAACTGCTACCACCTTGTACATGCAGCCCTGCTCCAACACGCCAGAGTCAAAAGGCTGACTTCCCTCACCAGCATATTTTCAGCTCTGCAGAGACCTGAAAATGAGCCATTCATTTGATCCAGGTGTGTTGGAAAAGGAATGCATCTAAAAGAGCTTGAAGGAGATCAATTTAAGAGGGTCGGTCAGTTCTGATCTAACTCAAAGACGCTCAATCTGCTGTGGCATCCTACCACTAACTGGTACTACTGTAATATACAAATTGGACACCCCTGTTGTTAATTGGCCAACATTTGTATAGCCTGTCCCTTGTAATTTCAATCTTTCAAAGGGCTTTAGAGTCACAATCACAAACACATTCATTCACCAATATGCAGATTGGCAAACAATTTGAGGTTATGTGCCTCGCCCAAGGGACGTGTGAGAGGAGGAAACTGAAATCAAACCCACTACTTTAAGATTGCAAGATGACTGCTTCACCAACTATACCACAGTGCACACAGGAGAATATGGCAAGTAAAATAGTATTAGTATTCCTTAAACAGTAAATTATAAACCTGTACTGGATTTTATCTGCAGGCATATAATGGAAGGATTGGGTTGAATTATGTAGAGCTTCTTATTAACTTCACTCTTTTGTCTTTTCTGTTCATAATTGTAAGGATTACAAATTTATATATAAAAAAAATGAATATCAATAATGTATTAATCTCCAGAGTAACTTAATTTGGGGACTTTCTAGACTAACATTTCTAAATGTGATTGCTATAGAAACCACTAACACTAACTGGCAATTAAACTTAACATTCAACCAATACCAAACCAATACCTCTTAGTATGTGTTGCTAAAGCAGAACAGTTTGTGTTGACTGTAAATTTAAACTTTGCTGAAGAGGCGATACTAGGATGCAGGATGTATGTGAGCTAATTGTAACTGCCAACACTCACTGAGACATGAAGCTGAGTCTGCTGTCTTCACAGACGGCTGACCTTTGGAAGGTCAGCTTTTTTGTTTAAAAGACAAACCGTGAAACAACACTTTCTTCTCGGCCAGAAAAGAGCTTGAAGGAGATCAATTTAAGAGAGTCGGTCAGTTCTGATCTAACTCAAAGACGCTCAATCGGCTGTGGCATCCTACCACTAACTGTTTTTACTGTAATATACAATTTCTTGCAAAAATACTTTTAACCAAATAGTGTTTTTTCATTTTGTTATGTAGAAACCACCAACTTAATTGTATCTTACTGGAATTTCATGTGAGTGATCAACACAAAGGACTGAAAAATTGTAAAGAGGAAGGAAAATAAAAATCATATCACTGTGTCATGCACATTGAATTAAACTTACTGATTACATAGTTTGAAAACCACTTTTCACTGCATTTACAATTTTTTGTTCTCTTTTTCTTATTAAAGTAGAGTTCAATCTCAGTCACATTAGACAGGGTTAAAGTCAGCAGGTATAATGTAAGAACATTTTAAAGTGTTCATAGCATGGATACTTATGCAAGGCTCTGTAAATTCAACAGACTTGAAAATTGAAGAAGACATTTGTGTTGTAATTCATCAGATATCTCAAAATGTCTTGTTTTTTTGAACACTTAATTCATTATATTTGGTAATAAAAATTCTTAACAGCTGTAATTTCTGTACTTGTATTAAAAAAGAATCATGTGTGTTAAACCTACCTTGACCTGTTTTGAAACACAACTTCCTCTTCTGATAGGTAAAGTACCCAATGACTCCTCCCACTGCAGACACAATGATTCCAGACAGGATTGCTGCTAAATTTTTAGAGCCTGCACACAGAAACAAAATAAAACAAATTATTAAAGAAATACTAATAAACGAAGATGAGAACACCTTAAATGGCAATAACATGTTTGCATTCCTTTGGAATTAAGAATGATCCTCTTTAAAATATGATATAGAGGCTTAAAAGCAGTCAGAGAATATTATCTCACATGTAAATAAAACCAGCCTGGGTAGTTTGTTGCCCTTGGTGCAAGCATCCAGCGATGTAAAACCACTGTTCCAAATGACTTAAATGGTTCAAATAAGTAAAGATGACTTTCTGCTTAGAAATGCTGTACCCAATAATTTACTCAGCAACAACTTGGCTTAAATTACCTGTTTTCAGTCAGTTGTTCACATAACTTACTGCATATAACATCAATTTACCACATCATATGAATGGAATGTATCTTCGTTGCTGCTTGGCATACCACACAGTTTTTCACGTCAATGTATTTCAAATATGAAAACAAGGGCTTTCTTGTGCTAGGGCTTTCTTTTCATTCAACAGAGAGTAATAATGGCACGATACACTGAGATTACCTGAAACGTGACATGCGGACTGAAGAGGAAGGTGATTGATGGAAAAGAAAAGTGGAGTCAGTGACATGTGCACACCTGAATAAACTGTAAACTGCAGCAATAGGAAAAGGTGAGAAAAACGGGCGAGAAGAGTGAGTCAGAGAACGTCAAACGTTGAAAAAAGAGAATGAGTCAACATAATTAGGGGGGGTTGAAACTGGAGACTGTAGTGAGTCAGTAGAAGGAAGTGAATGTCAGACATGCATGAACATGCATGTAAGAAAGAGCAGAACACCAACCGTAAAGAAGCACAGTGAAAGGAAATGATTTTGAAAAGAAGACAGCAGCAAATCTATGCTTTGAGTTTAACCCACTATTAGTCTGTCAGAAAATGAAATAATAACAATAAGAAGAAATGACTATAGCATGTCTTAATTATTTTTTTCCACCTCTGCAACTGTTGCGTCTAGTCATTTTTTACAATGATGAAAACATACTTAATCTTCACAGTTTAAAGAGGAGGTTTAGAAAATGTGATGTGGGAGGCACAAACCAGATAAGGCCAACACATACAACACAAAAAAGCAGGGCAAAGCTTATGCTGCAGGTATGTTTGGGGAAGGGCCTGAGAGGGTGGCTCTAGTGTAATCAGAACACAGAAGAGAGATAACTCACTTTTAGGTTTGGAAGAATCTGGATCTGGAAGCAAAATAAACAAAATTAGCACTTAACATATTTGGAAATATCATAGATTTTGCACTATTAACACTTAATTTGCATCATCTTTGATTTATTTGATAACATAACGCAGTGTACAAAGATCCTTTCCATATCTTCTCATCTTACATTTTAGTTTATGCTATAGTCATTTTTGTTACCATCATCATCGCCCTCACCCCCAAAAAATCAAAGACAAAATCAACAAAGAGTGCAGCCAAAATCTAAACCTGGGCATTAAAGTATAACACAATGGCCACACAATAAAAAGGCAGCAAAAGCAAAGTCTCCAGATTGAGTCTGAGTTCAGGTGAAGACATATGAAATAATCTATTGGAAAAAAAAACAAAAAACGATATATTATAAGACTCATTATTATTTCACTTTTGTACTTCACTTTCAATACTCAAGGTTTTAATTCTTTAAACAATTATGGCATTGTGTTCCTGCACAAAGGTTACTGCTAAGATGTATCATCAGACACAAGCTACAAATGTTTGCATGGATTTTTCTTTTCCGTTTGTCTTGTAAAAGGTATGCTAGTAATATCCTGTTTCACTACGTTTCAGCTCTACATAAGCACCACTATTTTTTCTTCTGATTTAAAGAACATGAGCAGGACCTGGTGCAATACAATAACATTTTTTGCTGTCATCAATATTTTGATAATGAACAGAAAAACAAACAAACAAACAAACAAACAAACAAAACTTACCTTCTGAACTGGCACGAATATCAGGAACTAAAAATGAAAAAAAAAACAAAAAACAGGAGAATATGTAATTTGAAAGAGCAGGGGGAAAAGCATTACTGAAGTGGCTTGGTAGTATATGTCAGAGAGAAAAAAAAACGAGAAGGATAAAGCATTTTTTTGTGGCAGATTATACTTTAGGAGAATTAACCACTTATGTTGCTGCCTTAACAGATCTTTCATGGAAGATATAATAAGTTAATCATTACACATGTACACCATTGTGGCGCTAAAAGTGCAAAACCGAGAACTATGCTAAATGATCCTCAAACAGACTGCAACATGCACAATCATGTCTACAAAAACATTAAATATAGTGTCACTTGAGAAGGCTTACGCATTAATATCATCACAGAGATAACATATCAGATGCAAACTCCCTTTTGACAATCTTTGATCCAAGTGATCTGTGTACCAACAAGTCCATTATCACCATCTGCTCTGCTTGTCCGAATGTGTCTGTTACATCATGGCCCCTGCCAGCCTACTTCAACTTGACAAAGCTGCTGAAGAAGAACTCATTCCCAACAAAATCCATGACTGTAGTGATTAGAGAAAGTCTGATTTTATGTGGGTAGTAAGGAGCAAATGCTGAGAAAATCTCTTCTTAATGCACTGTAGTCAAACTGCCAAGTGTGACAAGTGATTCAACTTATACAAATTAGAGACAAATTAAACATTTGTGTTCTAAAAGCATTTTAAATACATCTCGGGCTAAGAGACGTGTAAAAGTATGACTATTTTCATGTTGGCCACTTTTCAGCCACACACTGTGGTTACACAATCTCTTTGGATTTCTGAACTCATTCATTTAACTTAAATGACTTCCAGTTTGACTAGGCTGCAATGTAAATATCTTTGGAAAAGAAGAAAAATATATATTTGAATGAGGACTAAAATTTTCCAGCATTACATCATGGCTGCAAGATGTTAGCTTAGGGAAGTAAAAATGAGATATCCTTTATATATAACATGATATATCGAACCATCAAGGAAAAGCCTTAGATAAACACTGCTGTGTAAATTATGTAGCACTGTCTCATTCACTCCCTACCTTCCTCCGTCTTTCTGCACGCTCCTCATAAACATCCTGATTATATAAAAAACATATCAGAAGAAAATCTCCATAATGATGTCTTAGCTGTCTTTGTGTGTTTATTTGGAAACAGCACAGTTAGGATCCATGTGGTCACTCAGGATGTATTTAAAAACCTGGTCTGAATAAGGCATTTAGAGCAGGAAACTTGACATTCACTCTCTCTGTACTGATGTTGATGACAAGGCTGAACAAACCTCTGTAAGAACAGATCTTATTATATTGAGTTTATTTGGACTTGTAGCATGATAATGGTGGATTAAATCAGTAAAGTCCCTCAGAAGAACCAGATATTAAATTTACAGCCCGCCACTGTAAGTGACTATGGCATTGGGATAATAATGTGACTTTTATTAACTTTTTATTCCATTATTTGTTCCACTGTAACACGATTGCAACACAACGTTGTTGTATAACAATACAACAATGCAAAAATGTTTTTTAGTGAAGGAAAGTCTGTCTTTCACAGCAACATGCAGGTTAAGAAAATTTAAATCAATCTGATCTTATTATGAGCCCTGTCAATGAAGTGGAGTGCTTTACGTTTGAGTCTTTATGTGAAGCCGAGAAGGTTTTGCGACTGTAACTTGATTGTGCAACCTGACAGGTAAAATTGCAATTTTTGTTAGAACGGGTTGCCAAACACATAGCACATAATGAAAATGTCAGAAGAAGACTCACAATGATGACATTTATTTTTATGAATTATAGAGAGCAGAGTTCTGCTGGTTTTCAATGTGGTTAATTAATGTCTCTGGACAAACATTGCACTGATATCTTGGCGAGAGATCACAATAATCTATCTTTGAAGTTCTCTATTTTGCACTCTATGAAAATAGCTTAATTATGGGAGCATGCTTGTCTGTAAGAACCAAGTGGATATCATTCACAGTATCTGCTTGTGTAGATAAGCCTCTGTGATAAAAAAATAATAAAATGCATCACTGAGCCTTATAACATGGAAACCAATATAAATGATTGCAGTAATAAGATAAGATTTTACGTAGATAAAAAACTAAACTAGATAATATATCTTTATCATTATTTTATTTTTTTATTGGTTTCAATAATTATTTTAGCTACAACTGAGTATTGTAATGGAATTATGTTTAGTTAGCAGTTTGATAAACCTGATAAGAACAGTGATTTAAGGATCATTTGGGCAAACTAAAGTATTTTTATTGTGATCCATATCTTTACTTGACCAGGTGGGATATCTGCTATACATTTCTAAGTAGAACGCAATGTTTGAAATTAAATAAATACATAGGAACTGCAAGTGAAGCAAATTTTATGTAAATAATAATTAAAATAAGGAGACTATCAAACACATTTTAATATCACTGTTTCCTTGTTGAATTATAGATAATGTAAATTGGAGAGCATCCCTGGAAACTCCACACATTTGTACAGATCAAGACAGGAACTTCAGCAGAAAGGATGTGCATATAACATCAATTTACTGATCCTGTGAATCAGTATGATGTTTCTACAAAAGGATATCATTTGACATGAACGATGGTTTACTTAACTCTACCTTAGGGAAAATCCCATGGGTGTTCTAATTCATGGATATGGGTGTGGCTCAGCCAACATAACAGATACGGATGAGCAGGGAAAACTATGATTGGCGCTTTAACACGCTGTTGATAAAGCTTTTTTATCGCTAACAGTTTCAACTTTTATATGACTGATACATGTAATAAAGTGTTTTCTTGACAATTGATACATGAATTAGACCGCCACAATTTTGTGCCTTTCATAAATCAACACTTCAGTTTGAAAAAGAACAAAGAATAATACCACAGTGAAATGTAGAAAGTAAAGAGTGGTCCCTCAGCTGTAAAGTCCGTGTAAATCATTCGGGAGGTGTCTTCAAAAACCAAATTGCAACACTCAAATGTAGGAGGTAAAAGTGTGTGCGTCAAATTCCCACCTTAAATGAAATCCCTGGGAACTATATATTTAAGCAAAACAGCACATCTGTTCCTCATAATTTTTCAGAAATTAGTGAGATGCAATAACTCTATTCACAACAATTTAACAAAAGACATGAGATCTTTCAAAACAACCAAAAGAGAACAAAACAAAGATCTGACATATCTCTAAATATTTCGTGATAAACTTAAAAGGGCTTTGTTGTTACACACAAAGGGAATCAAACGTTGGAACTCTATCCATCCATCCAGTTTCTAACACTCTTGTCTCTAGTGGGGTCCTAGTGCCTATCTCCAACTAACAATAGAGGGGGGTACACCCTGGACAGGTGGCCAGTCTGTCGCAGGGCAACTTTGGAATTCAAATTAATTTAAGTTTAGGACTTACTGCTTCTAGACTCCCAACATAAAATTGTTGTGATCTGTGTTTTTCTGTTGTATTTAGTTGAGTTTTCTGTGTCCTGAGTCTCCTCGTTGTCCTGTCTTCCCCTTGATTGTTCCCAGGTGTGTCTTGTTCCCTTCAGTGTATTTAATCCCTCCTGTGTCCTTTGTTCCTTGTCGGGTCCTTGTTGTTGTTTGACGTTGTTACTTGTCGTTTGAGCCGCCTATTTGACCAGTGCTACCGGTGTGAGCCCTGGCTTCCGCTCAGCCGCGGACTTGTTTCTGTTTGACTGTGTTTTCTGGACATTGTCTTCCATTAAATTACCACTAATCACTTTACCTGGGCCTCCAGCGTCTGCCTCACCACCTCCACTACACCACTCCATGACAGTTACTCTTCCTCTTTAAACACACCAAACAATAAAAAAATGTTCTGTTCTTTACAGAATACCCAATTATTTCTCCCTGATCTCTGCAGCACTGGTAAGGCTTTAAAAGGCCAACCTCCACAAATATATCCACTTTGAGTTACTGATATCAAAAGGACTGTTAAAATAAAATAGAAACCAAATCAGAATGAATAGAGCTGAACAAAATTTACCTGGGTTGTAAATCCTGCGGCCTTCTGCCTTTGAAACTGTAGGAAAAGACAAAAGAAATTAATAGATCAGGTAAATATAAACTTAAAAAAAAAAAATCAGCAAAAAACTACTAAATACATTTTTCTGTATGAGATCATTTATGAATGACATAAAAAACAACATGTAGATAGTACTTTATAGATTAATTATAATCTATATAATTAATTATAAATGTAAATATCAAAGTATGAATGTATAGCTACACAAATATTGAGGTATAAACGGAACAGATTACTGCAAAGAAATGAAACCTAACATATTAAAAGCATACATAATAGTTGGAACAAAAAATATGATTGAAGAAAATATTCATAATGATTTATTTTTCTATTTTCAAAAATTATTCGGGAGAATTTTATAGTGGCAAAGACAACAAACATATTTTATTTATGAATCACATTTCTTGTTGGTTGTTGTGCAACTTTCCCTTGGGGATAAAAAAAGTACTTTTCAGTTTAATTTAAATTAAGCTTAAATTCAGTTTGTAATACAAGCAAATGTATCTTAAAGAGATGGACATACCTTTGCTTGTATCTACAAGAAGCATACAGACATTAATTCAATTTTAAAAAAAGATCCTCAATAGCAGAATACACTGGAACTTAACTGACTTGTTTAATTTGCTGTGGAATTTCTAATGTGAGTCTAACAATTACCAGGGAACTCCTTTGTACAAATGTTCCCTCCCTACCAGAATAACAGTTTTACCACAAGATCTGCCAATGTTTTGTCATACACGGACCAAACAGCAGCAAACAGTCTGCATCAACAAGATGCTGACTGACACTGGAAAGGTGAGCGTCTTACAAGACATGGAAAAAGTAAGCAATGGAAACTGCAACATGTTGCCAGAAGAAAACTGCTGTGGGAAACAACAGACCTCTTTTCCACTGACCTCAGTTGTGGCTAAATTGGTGATATATGTGTGAAACAAAGTGATATTTGAAAATAAATATGTAAATAGCAACATGAAATGGCTCAAATAGGCATTATGCAGACATTATTCAATAGAGATTAAAGTTGCCTGCTGTCCTAAACAAATAACATTGGTTTTATGAATGTTTTAATATTGTTTTTTTTTTTGTTTTCCTTTTTTATCCACTTCCATGAAATGCTCAAATATTTTTTTTGAGGTATTATGCTGATTTTTCCAAAGAGAATAACATGTGAATATTGGCACAGACTTGGGTATATGCTTTGCACAATTTAAGTGTGCAACTTCTGAAGGCGGACTAAGAAGGGTTGTGTTGTTTATATTTTGTGTGATTATATGGCACTGAATAGGTTCTTTTCCTTTCAACCGTCATAAAATGAGAGACGGCAGCTGTACAAACAAGTCTGGACAGTTTCACAGCAAACACAAACGAAGATCTCAGAATCTTCGTTCTGAGATCTTTCTGTACCTTGTGCTTTCTTGCTAGATAAAAGTCAGACAAGAGTCAATATACCGAGGTTGATTACCAGATTGATGGTCCAAACATTAAGATTTTTACTCCATTAGCATTCTATTGTACACACTCCAGGAGCCCCATTTCCACTATAAATGTGGTTGTTTTCTAAAGACTTCATGGTTTGCTATACAAAAGTTGTCGTATATGGATTTTGAATTAAATTACTAATGTCTCCGTGTCTTTTAAAAGGGTCTGTTCTCTTCTAAATGAATAAAAAGAAAGCAATAAGCTGGTCCTGCTGGTTAGTTCATTTGCTTGTTGTTAGTTGTTGTCAAACTCTTTGCATAAGTTTGTCATTCCTTTTATATGTCTAACTACATCCAAATACAAATATGCTTAAATGAGGGTGAAGTTATAAATTACAAGGTTTAATCATCCCACGAAGAACTATTTAATCAAATATATGAGCGTGAGAAGACTGTTGCATAACTGCAAACCTACCAAGGCATGTTATCTGCCTAATCTGTCAACCAGTCGAGATGGCAACTCTTGTTGATAGGACGGTGCATCCCTTTGATAGAAGAGAGGCTTGAAGAAATCCATTGTTAATAGAAATCTATTAAGCATCTTGTTTGTAGTTTCCCATAAACTACAAACAAGATGTAGTTTATGGGAAACTAAACCATAAACTCATTAAAACACCATTATTAAAACACCTTAGCTTAACTTTGTATTTTTACAGATGACACCAAAATTTTGCCAACTTTTAAAACCCTGTATAGTGGAAACTAATACTGCAATGGTAAAACATGGTGGTAGGAGCATAATGCATTATAGTTATCTACACAGCAGCCATGAATTCAAATGGGAATCACACCTTTCATATTTCTATGATTTGTGAAAGATGCTGAAAACTTTGCATCTTTTATCTTTCACTTGATAATTAAGCACAGTGTTGTGTCACGTTGTGTCACATACAATCCCATTGACCACACTCCCATTTATGGTTGTAGCATTATAAAAAGTGAAAACCCTCATTGGGCATGAATGCCTTTGCAACGATTATTGCAAGCAGGATTTAAATGTTGTATCTTAAATAATTTTCTGTTTCAAAACATTGTAATTACATAAGTTCTTACTTTTTTCATCTATCTGTGGGGGTGCAGGTGTCTCAGCAACCTCAGGTCCAGGAGTTGTTTGTTCAGACTTTTCCACGTCAGCATCTGAGTTAACTGCCAATAAACAGAGAGGCAGGACATGAAATAGCTTTCCTAATTCTATATTATTACAGTGTACAGAAAATAATTGTCACTGCAGACTCGCAGTATAGATATTGTATCATAAAAATAATATTAGCTTCACAAAATTTCATTACCACCATGGCTCTACTTCAAGAAATTTTATTTTTACAAATATTTTAGAGTGATAATATTCAGAAAGGATTAGTGTAATGATATTAATGTAATGTAACATACACTAGTTGAACAGGTACCCCAGTTCAATTGTTTTTTTATGCGAATAGTGAATCAGTTAATAAAATGGCAGCAACTCAACTCAAAGCATTGAGACGTCTAGTTAAAAAAGGTATGCAGAATAACATTTTCAGATAATCAAACCTCTAAGCAAATTTAGAGGAAGCAGAAGAACATCACACCAGATGCCACTTCTGTCACCTAAGCACATAATCCATTCTGTCTCGTCTTTACAATTTCTGTTGTTGGTGGTGGTAGAGTGGTTGGGGGAATATTTAGTTCCACACTGTATGTCCCTAGCTACAACTTGAGCATCATTAAAACACCTTAGCTTAACTTTGTATTTTTTCAGGTTTTTGGACCATCATACTGATTGAGTTTACACCGCTCTTCAAATGTGACCAGATCTCAGTCCAGTAGAGCATTGTGGGTGCACAGCAGGTAAATCTGCAGGAACTGTGTGATGCTTAACATGGACGGAAATCTTTGAGGAATGTTTTAATTTTATTAGCACACTTAAAAAAGTGGACTATGAGAATGTAGGTAAACATTGAATTGAAAAGATAAATATAAAATAAGCACAAATAAATTATTATTTTCTAAATTACCTTGTGTGGTAGATGGTTCAATTTCATTAGCCACTGCTATTGCTCCTGAGCCATCTTCTGTAGGTGCTGCTGGGGTCGTCACACCTGCAGATGGTTCTGTAGATGTCTCTGACTCTTCTCCCAAATTCTCATTCTCGGGTGTAGCTGTTGGTTCAGGGTCAGCTGCTGGTTCAGGCTCTGCTGTTGGTTCAGAGTCAGCCACTGGTTCAGGCTCTGGCGTTGGTTCAAGGTCAGCTGCTGGTTCAGGCTCTGGCGTTGGTTCAGGGTCAGCCACTGGTTCAGGCTCTGGCGTTGGTTCAGGGTCAGCTGCTGGTTCAGGCTCTGGCGTTGGTTCAGGCTCTGCTGTTGGTTCAGGGTCAGCTGCTGGTTCAGAGTCAGCCACTGGTTCAGGCTCTGGCGTTGGTTCAGGGTCAGCCGCTGGTTCAGGCTCTGCCGTTGGTTCTGGGTCAGCCGCTGGTTCTGGGTCAGCCGCTGGTTCAGGCTCTGCAGTTGGTTCAGGTTCAGCTGCTGGTTCAGGCTCTGCCGTTGGTTCAGGTTCAGCTGCTGGTTCAGGCTCTGCCGTTGGTTCAGGGTCAGCTGTTGTGTCTAATTCACCTTCTGTTTCTGGTGCTTCCTGTATTTAACACAATTTTATAGCACAATTGAAGCTTGAGAGTGCATGTAGTTATAAGGCAGAATAAAGGTGTGGTAAACATTATAGTGAGACACAAAGACTAATGAAAAGTTAATTGGCACATCAATAATTCCACAAAACTTAACAAAAAAAATCTGCTTCTGCTGATGTTATCACCTGTCACTCTCAGCATTCAAATTTTCACGTAGTTATCAGAAGGATAAATTTTTAATCTGTGATTTTAAGGTGGCATCTTGTACACATTAGAAACAAGCAAATCCAACTGAAAGGAAGCATTTTGTTTTCCTCACTGTCTCTGCTGCGCCATCAGCTTCTCCACCAACCGCTGGATCTGCTGCCGTTTCTACCGCCTCTGGAGCAACCGTTACGACTCCCTCTTCTGGATGAAGTCATGTGAAAAAAGAAAGCAACAGAATTAGACTTTTACATTATATAGTGACATGTTTGAGCGGAAGGTCCAAGTCAGCTTAAATGAAAAACGGGAGAAATAAATAGAGATCTGGCCACCCAAGTCTCAAAAAGCTTGAATTGCCTCTTAATTCTTTCAGTGGGTAAATCCCTCAAAAGATTTCCAACATTGATCAATATTTTGTGCACTCTATTGTTATTGAATGAGAAAACCTATGTTCAGTCTAAAGCAGTGCTAACAAAACTTCATGGTTATGACTTTGGAAACTGGCACAATTCCTCATGGTCTGTGAGAATGCATGCAGATCTAGAGCCACACCCTGTCCTGACTGATCCATGATGTTAACACTCAGCTAAGAAGTGGATGACAGGCACTTCGATCACATCTGACCCCAGGCAGCGCTGAATGAAAGTCTCAACCTCAGCACAGCTGTTGCAGCTTTGCACTAATGAGAACCCTTCTTCTTTGTTGTGTGACTGTGTGTGTGCTGGAGTCAGATTTGTGACATTCCCCTGTGAGTAGCTAAAGCAACAAGCACTGTTTAGTTTTTATTTGTTTTTACTCAGCTGATTTCACATGTAACCTGATGCTGAATCACCCCAGCAGTACTTTTCCGCTTCACAATAATTTAAGTGATTACTAATGATATTTATGCTAAAATTCTGCAAATTTTCAACTCAAAGCAGCACCAGTTGCTGCTAACAAGCAAGTCTTAAGAAGTATGAGTGTCTATTTTGAGTCATGGAGATAAGATGTTTAAAATCTGACATGCTTTTGTATTTATGTTAAAGCGCTCTTTTCTTTTTGTAATAATAAAGGAAGCAATTCATTGGTGGTTGCTGTAGTCTATATGCAGTCAGATCACAACCCTAACCCCACCATGTTGAAGTTATCTACATTGCAGTTCTTTCTGAGCAAAACAAAATAGAAATAACAGACTAGCAGAAAAAAAAGTAAACAATTTGTAAGCCCTGAGAGAAAACCTTGACTGGCTAATTGTTAGCCTAGTCTAAAAACACCTAAGTTAAGGTGGGCTAAACTGCTTTCTATCTTTGTCTTTTCATTAAATCTGGACATCATCTGATGACTTCAAGTTCTAAAATACTTAAACTTATTCAAATTTCATAGAGAGAAGATGGATTTACATTTCTGGAAATGTCATGGTACTTTTAAAACCACAAAATAGAAGGATATTTGGACCCCCTAAGAACTAGCTTCAACACAAATACAACAGTTGTGGCATATGTTTGTTTTGCTCCGTCTATTCTTTCCTCTCAGGCATTCCATTGTCAGTTTGGATTTGAAGAAACAGAGTTGGATTAATCAAACTGGATTTGGAGAAACTCACAAAGGATCTGGTTCACCACAAATTTCACCAAATCCGCACTGAAACACTGTTAGAGGTAGGGACAATAAATCAAATTCTGCTGCGTACAACCTTGCACTGGCCTGGTTAGTTCCTTTCACACGCTGAATGTGCCGACCTCAAAGACAGAAATTTCCATTGATGTGGACTGTCAAAAATAATAGGGCTGCATTTTGATGTTTAATTTTTCTAAAATACACAGCTATATTCTTGTCTTATCATCACAATATCATGAATTTCATAACTACATAGCCAGGGAATAACATTATTCTCCAAGCTAAATTATACATGGGAAACACTATGATAGAAGGAAAAGACAACATAAAATAGGAGCTCTATACCCTAAAACCTTTCTTTAGGGTGATATAAAAATCTTCTCTTCCTGTATTTACTACGTCTGTTGCAAAGTTAATTTTCAAAAGATTCCTACTCTTGCCAAGTCAGATTGCATAAGAGTCAGTGAAGCCTTGAGGAGACCAGCATTTACAATATCTGAAGTATTTCCATCACACCGTAAATCATCTGGAGGCGAGATGCACTGATGACACCCTGGTTCTTGTCATTCTAGCATGGATTCGGTGGGAACAACTCAAAATTCGTAGAAATTCAGTTTATTTAAACAAGTACATACAAGCTATAAACAAACTTGCATACATTCATTACTCTTCATACTACATTTCGTTGCTTTGTACATGTGACAGTGCAATGGCAATAAAGTTGAATTCTATTCTATTCTATTCTCATTTATAAAAGAGTTTCTGATGCCTCCTTTTTACTTTGTGAGTTTAGAGCCACACTATCAGCTCTGCATCCAAGCTCAACATTAATCACAGCCCCTAATGAATCACACCGTATGCACATGTGTGTATGGGTGTGGCACTGTGGTTGTTTCAGTTTCCTCATTATTTCTTTGGAAATCGCTGTCTTAATCAAAGATGAATTGCGGCGTGCGCGGCTGAATTTGATGAGCCTTGGTATTTCAAAGGCTAGTGATTAAGCACTGAAAACATAACCGATACATTATCCCAAAAAAATTGCTTATCTTTATCCAATAGTGACAACCCTTGTTTCTAATTTCTCAAACACGACATGTGGAAATGAGTCCCGGCTTTACCTCGCAGGTTAGAGCTTGCATGCACATGAGTGGGAGGTTAGGTGGATTTCATGTAACTGCTCTAACTCTTTAGTAAGTGTAAGCCTGTACATGCACGGGGAGGGAAGCTACTCGTGGATGTAAACTTTGTCTATTGCTCAACTGAACATACTGTTCTCACTTATCAGTTTAACACTACCTCATTCAGCCACCCTTACCATCTTAACATGTGGAAATACAACTCGTGCATGAATATAAATTGGTCTTCTTGTCTGTTCCCCCCAGTAACAGAACAAACAATCCCATTTGCGCTCAAGGGAAGCTCATGTTGACGTCTACTCACACTTTTAATAAAGAGTGTCCTGTTTTCTATTACCCCAGCAGTTAAACTTCCTCTCCCTCCTTTATACTTCTGCTTCTTCTTAGAGTCTCTTACTCCGCTTTCTTCCTTCTCTTTCTTACTCACAAAGTCCTAACTCTCTCTTTTTCATTGCCACAACTTCCCCCTGAGGCTGGTGAGTCATCTTAGTCTCCAACATGACTGCATGCTATTGTATGTAACAGCGAACGGCAAAAAGGTCCCTGAGGGAATAACTCCTAACTGAAACCATGTGATTCGTACATACTGATAGTGTATTTGACCATGTGATCCTCACACATGGTCAAGTACACTGTGAGTTCTTTACAACTGGCTAATGCTTTGTTCCAACAAACGCTAAGATTCTGTCTTTCTTGCACATTTTTTGAAACATTTGACAGAGACAATTACAGCCAGAAAGCTCTCATTTGAGACAATGAGTGGATTTATTAGCCAGTACACCATCTTATTAATTAACATCTCTCACTGTCCTTTTGGCTACAAAAAGCAAATGAGATATTTTATTACATACTATGACTATGTATTCAGTCATAGGGAACTTGTGGGGAGACAACTATGCAATTGTAACAGCAATTTAAAGTATTCAATTAACCTAATGTACATTAAAAATAAAGGAGACGTATCTGGAAAGATCCCATATACACACTCATGCACACTCAACAGCTCCAGCTGGGATTCAAACCCAGGAGTATTGTTGCAAGTCAGCTGTACTGACAACTGCATAACAACGCAGCCTACTATTGAAAGTTTGACAGTGAGTGCCATTCATTCCTTTTTACTTTTCTCTGTCAGGGTTAAAAATGATTGGTAACTATTTCAAAAATGAACAGGTGAGGAATGCAGTTTGTGACCACAATCTGTGACAGGGTGTCACAGATTGACCTAACATGAATAAAAACTGGACAGTAATTTGTCAAGGAAAAGGACTCTAGTAGCATTTGTAATTTGATAAAACAACTTTATTCACCAACCAAAGGGTTTCACCTTGGTCTTCATCAAGGTCATCCTCCTGTCAATGATCTTCCTCAAGGCTAAAGGATTGCTAAAGTCGTCAACTGCTCAGATTTTCTATATGCAGCTTGGAGGTAGGTGAAATTTAGCAGGAAATGTCTGGACATTAGGAATGTTTACATGAAAACCAGTATGGTTTAAAATAGTAAATGATGGCATTGTATCAGTTTGAGTGAATATTTTAAAGATTTTTGTTGCTGCTAAATTTCCATGTTGCTACTTGCATTATTTACAAAATATTAGACCCGTTCAGGAGATTTGGAACCCTTTGGGATTAAAATGGAGCAAAGTTTAAAAAAGTGGAGTTGCAATCAGTGACAACAAACCTAATTTAATCGCTTTTCTCTTTTATGTAGTGTTATATGCAAAGCAGCCATTTAAGAGTTTGAGCTTGGGGTACTCAGTTTGTGTAATAATTATTCTACTAACTAAAAAATAATGATTATTTTCAAGGTAAATATGAAGAAATTTACTGAGAATTAGTGAATGACAGTAAACCGGGAACAGTTACATGTGCTGTGTTCTTATCGGTGAGGTCAGAACTTTGTTTGAAGGAATAACATCAAAGCTAACTGACCAATTTTACTGGTCACTGAATTAAGTTTTATAATTCTGTGTGATACAAAGATACAAATCATTAGGATTCCAAATAAGCTGTCATAATTGTTTATATTGGTGAAAAATTTCAGGCTTTTAATTACAACTTATAATTACAGTTTTGTAATAACCTATTGCCTTTTTTACCTTTCTTTTTTTTTATTTGAAGCTAACGTAATGAACTTAGCAGTCCAGATTGATGGCGGACTCTGGCAGAACTGGTATTTACTGAGGTGGTGCTAGTTATATAACGCTAACCCATCATCTAGCACCATTAGCTAGATGATGGTGCTAGCTAGATGATGGTGCTAGCTAGATGATGGTGCAAGCTAGGCTGCGTGCCAACAGAACTATTGGAGCAATTAAAGGAATTTTATCTTTTGACTCTTCTGGTTTCCGCAATGCTTGCGTGAGATCACCTGAATGGAGGTGAATTATTTTGCACATTGTGTTCCAACTGCACAACATTTTGTGCACATGTGTCCGATGACATGAGAGCTTCCTCAAACCATTGTTCTCTCAGGTAAACCTTTTATTGTGTGTTTTGTGAACAGTGCTCTGTTTACTCCAATCATAGCACCTTAATGCACCCATAAGGGAGAGAATGCGTGTGTGCATGTGTGTGCGCACTTAAACCACAAAGGGATGATTTATGCATTGGCAGTTGAAGTTGTAAACACAGACAAGTTGGCGCACTCACAACACACACATATAAACACACACCTGGCACACCTCACACCCTTTTCATTTGCGTTTCAGACACAAATGTTTGATGGTTGGTTTATTCACACACAAAATGCATAGAGCTCTCCCATATGCTCACATGTTCTGTACATAAAAGTTGCAGTGCACCCCACCCTCTCTTAGTTACACACACAGACGTAGAAACACTGAGGGCCTGGGGGGAACGGACGGCACTGAAACTAGTTGTGTGAGTGTTGGGTGTTGTCTACAGCTGGAGCTGGATCTGGTTACCGAACACTCCCTATTCCTTCCTTCTATAGTTTAACACACACTGTAAATGATGTCCACATGCGCAACTGACCCCACACTTCATCTTGTAAACTGATAAACTGATTTCTCTTGCACACGTGCATGTCAGTGAAACACGTCTGGGGAGACTTTCAGGGTCCCAGTGCATCAAAGTCCAGTGAGTTCACAGTGAGCTTACACTATCTCAAAGCGGTTTACAGAGAGAGAAGTAAAAAAATGTGTGTGTGTGCGTGGGAGAGAGTACATGTAAAGGTGCTTTCTCCCTGGCGGTTTGGCTAGTATCAAAAAAAAATTAACCAGTAGAGTGAGATTACTATCTCACCTCCAAACACCAAACGTTCAACTGAACTTGTTTGCATAACGATAGCGTGGTCCTTACTGCTCCTTCATTGTGTCTCTCTCTTTTTTCCCTCTCAATCAGCTCAAGCATTTATCCTTCATCTTCTTCCAACACCTCCCCTTGCTTTTCCCTCAGTTTATATGTTTTTCCTCAACCATTCCCCCTCTCTCCATGTGAGTTTTATTGCGCATTTGAGCAATCTGAAATCATTGCATGGACTGCAGGCAAAAAAGGGGGAGCTTACAAACCAGCTGAAGGGGAAGGAAGAGGGAGACAGACATAAACGAAATAAAAGACACCTGGAACAAAAGCAACAGCAACAATAACAAAAAAAAACAGGACATGAGGATGAAGTAGTCAGCTAAGCACAGAGAAATGAGCAATAAGAAACAGGAAAATGGGGAGATGGTTACTTGGGTCCACCACACCCCTCAGGTTTAAAATCTCTAAAAGAAAGATCTGGACACATTTTAGAAAGTGTGACATTTTTCCTCACTGTTGATGGCCCAGCTAAACAGGCAAAAGATGAAAATCTGTTTGGTCATTCAATTAGACATTAATTAAACAAAGCAGAATGTAGGGAGTCAATATAGATGACATGAGATTAATGAAGCATGCATACAGACAGAAGATAGACAGACAGACAGACAGATATATAGATAGATAGATAGATAGATAGATAGATAGATAGATAGATAGATAGATAGATAGATAGATAGATAGATAGATAGATAGATAGATAGATAGATAGATAGATAGATAGATAGATAGATAGATATATAGATAGATAGATAGATAGATAGATAGATAGATAGATAGATAGATAGATAGATAGATAGATAGATAGATAGATAGATAGATAGATAGATAGAAAGAAGGAGCAACATCTGCACAAAATCAGAGCCCCAGTACATTAACTAAGAACCTGAATTATTACCTTGCGCTTTGGCGTGTGAGGCCAGCAGGCTCCCTAATAGCAGAATCCACAGGTATGACATCATGGGAACGCGCTGTTCTGCCTTTACGGATAAATGGGGCTCACTTTCCCTGCCTGTGTCCTTTACCAAGGTCAATTAGCCGGCTCGAAGGTTTTCAGGTGGATTTGGAGGGCGTGTCCGTCCTGTCGGCGTGCCTGCTGTGCGTCCCTGCGTTTTCGTCCTCCCCTCCAGATGAAGGTGCTCCAGATGCTCTGGCTCAGTGCGCCCCGCCGCGGATCTGCGCCGTCTTTTGTCTGGATTGGAGGAGAGAGGGTTAGGTCTTTATTGAGGTGGGCGGGTCTCCCAAATACCGGCGGACAAGGCTGTTGCTGTGGTAACACGAATTGATCCGTGATTTAATTTGTTTCGGCACCATACATGCCAATAGTGTGACTGATCAACAAGTATTTGTTTTTATTCCGGTTTCTCCCTCTGAAATTTGTTTTGTGACTCACCTTCTCGTGATTATAACCATGGGAACTGAGGACATACATAATTATTCACCGTACAACCTTTACTTACTTGTTCACGTCGTAGTCACGCATTTCCTCCCCTGGAAACTTAAAGAGACTCATAACTAGAGGCAGGTTATACTTAACATGCAACATGCTTAAACACGCTTAAATAGCCTATATCTTATATATTGTGCAAATCATAAGGTATAGCCTCCCCAGACTCCTGTTAGTGCCGTAAAGGAGGATGGACACGGGCTGGACAGCACCAAGTGGCACATCAGTCTCAGCAAATCCAAACATCAGACCAATCAAGATTGTATAAAAATAATAAGTCTCTCTTTAACATAAACTCGGGGTGTTTCTGTACCTTAAATGTTTGGTTAACAGATGTTTGATCCTCTCTCAGTAAAATTACTTGCAGTGGAGTAGCCAGACAATTTACTCAAATAAGAGTCGTGTTACTTATTTACGTAAGTAAAAGTAAATAGGCTACAAAAAAAAAAAAAAAGGAAAGAAAGAAAGAAGTCGAAAACATTAAATTTGGATTGAGATACTTTTGTGATCTTCACGAATCAACCTACAGACACATTTAAAAGTATGACTTTTACTACATGAGTTTAAAATACAGCCATTGAATGTTGATCTGTGTTCAGTTGGTTTGGTTGCTTTAACAAAGAATAGCCTATATCACAAAATAGTTTTCCAAGTTCGCTGCTCATACATTTGCACTTCTATTGTAATATAGGCTAATTGAAAAGTGACAAATGCAAGTGTTTGTTACTGTTAAATCTGTCCAAATATCTTAAGGATCTTGGAATATCACATACAATCGAATTAAAAAAAAATTGTAATACATAAGAAGTCCTGAAGAATCTTGGAGAAGGCTGCTGACAAGGCAAAAAACTTCACTGCTTGTAGCATGCTGTTTTCAGAATTTTCTATCTAAACATGTTAACTGGGCATAAATCATCTTCCCCACCCAGAGTGGGAAAAAATGTGGTGCAAAAAGGTTTACAAGCGATGTTCACTCAAGAGCTTGGCAGACATTCACAAGGCGTGGATTCAGCTTCAAGAGCCTCCAAACATAGATAGGCTATGTCAGGACACAGACTGCAACCTGTAGGATCTTACATTGGCTGTGGAAAAAATGAGAGGATTGACTCTCATGGACTTAAGTTCTTTTTTAAGAATCAAACTCTTTCAGTTTCTGGGAGGCAATTGGATTTTTAAAACCAATTGCTGGAGTGTAAAGCTTCCGCAGACAGTAATGATTTGGGAAGCAGTCTCATTTTCTGTTGATCCACTGTGTTTAAAAGTCAGTGTAATGTGTAATTGGAGCCATTTATGCTTCCTTCCAATGACGAGCTTAATGGAGATTTTATTTTCCATCACGACTGTGATTACTTTTAATCCTACAAAGCTCTCAATGTTTTCCACTCGTCAGGTTATTCCTTAAGATTCTTTAAAACAATAGGTGTAATTGTACGGCATTTTTTAAGACTTTGGTAATGATATACAGAAAATAAATTGTATTACATTCAAATCTAAATAGCCTACTAAAATTGCATTGTTCTTCATTATTATTTTGACTCTTTGGGTCTTTCTTCCAACCCAAACAGTGTGTATATTCTTAGGAAAAAGAAGAAAAAGAAAAAAAAAACATGCATCCAGGAATATTCCCAAAAAATATATATATATATATAAAAATGCAAGACTTCTGGTGTATTCCAACATAATGCCTCTTATTTTCACAGGCAGAACATCAGACATTTCACTCCACCTTTTTTGAGACGCTTTCTGGCCTAATTTTGAAACGGAAGGTGGCGCCATTTAGCTGTTTTCTATTGGTTCCAACCTACGTCAAAGCTTCTCTCCATCGCATTACAGAACCAATTGCAGACATTTAGCACATTTCACAGGATTTTAACTCATCATAAAACACAATTGTGCAAAACGTAAAATGAAAACTATGGCTTGTAACAATTAAGGACAAAAACTTGTTTTGGTAAACAAGATTTTTATTTTTCGAATAGAGAAACTTTTGGTCAGTTTAAATGGAAAATAACTAGTACACAAAGAAAACTCTGTATCAGTACACAATCAGATATTCTGAATGTAAACAGGAACACACCCAGGTGATTTTCCTATTACCAGCAGGTGTGGAGGCAAATCATCATCAGGGGATGCCCGTTTGTGGTTAGCCAAATGACATTCAAAAGACAAACCTTCTATGTTGTCCAGTTAAAGAAAATACTTTAAACACAATAGATCAAATAATAGATATGTAAAACTAACAGATTCATGTTACAAATGCTGAATATTGGGGGAAAAAAATGAAACAGAATGAATCAAAATGGTGCTTTTAATTAGTTTTAGTACAATAATTACATTTACTATAAAACAAACAATGCCTTAGCTTCAGAACATATCAGTAAACAGTACATCCTGAAAAAAAAAAAAAAAAAGATTTGCAGCAATTCTCAGCACAACATTCAGATGTCGGATCCATTTGGCACCAAATTTCACCTTTCAATCGTTGTGAAGAAAATGTTACTTATGTATTTAATTAGTTAATAAAATATCAAACAATGAAGATGAAATTAATGAGTTACCTTTTTTGGTCACATCAGACGAAAAAGTTGGTGAGGCATACTGAGGCATATAAAAGGTTGATGGGTTTTTGTTGGTCATTTCTTTTAAAACACCACTTGATTTGTTAAGGCAACAAAGCTGAACAGCATAGAAAACGCAGTGTTTTGTACTCGCATGTGCTGCTTTTTGCACAGGCTAACAAGGTATAGAAGGTAGTACACACTCAGTATTAACTGTTAGGTTGTACCTTTGGAGTATGATGACATACTCTTTGCTCCTTTCTTTCAGAAAACAAAGTCAATCAGTCTTATATTATCCACCAGCCAACTGTACCTTAAAAGCACTTGGTCATCACAATATTGGTCTGCTTTCAATTAACAGTACCAGATATACAAAGTCTAATATGACATGAAAAAAAAAATCTGACTAAAAGGAATTTGGGAATGTAGTGGTTTTCTGAGTCTGTAGTGTGAGGCAGAAAGTGCTTTAAAATATATATGTCTTTGGCGAGTCATTAAACTCCTGGATATTACAGAAAACTATTGTTGAAATTTAAAGTTTAACAGCTTTAAATTGTTTTTGTAGGTTTTATGTAAAGCAAAAAAGTCAGATGAGCAAAAAAAAATAAATAAAATAAAACAACTTGAAGCTGTTTAGCAGTGGTACCCCAAATTCATGCACTTACAGTCGATTTCATTAAATACTGAAGAGTTCTCCACAGAAGGCAAAACTAACTTGAGTTACATATAACAGGAACCTTCTCATGATTAGACTTGAAGAAATCTGCTGTGAAATCCATTTATTTACAAAGAAAAAATAATAACAAAAAGCACACTGATTTTAGAGTTTTGAACAGTTTGTGCCAAACTTTCTTCTTGGTCATGCTGATGATGGGAGAATAAAGTCTTGATTGCCTGCTGACGTACAATTAAGACACAGGCATTCATAAAAGATGATTCAATTCAGTACGTCTTTCAACTCCATGGGCTGTTTTCAAGTAAATAAATGAACGAGACAGGAGGAGTTGGGAGAAATAATATCAGTAACACCGACAGCAACAAGGAGGAAGTGTTTGCCGTCTCAGTGAAATGACATGATGACAGGCTGAAGGTGATTTTTTTTTGGTGCAGTGGTTGATTGGCCATTGAGAAGGCTCACATTTTATTGAAGCACTCTTTGGCGTTGGACCACACTTGTATTCCCTGAAAAAGCAAAAAGGTGGCAGAAAGAATGTTATACAGAAAAAAATAACTGGAATGAGAATGCCAAATAATCTAAACTACTGAGTACATAAAGAAAATTCATTGGGAAAAATATGAGAAGAGTACCTTTTTACACATGCTGATTTGCATGATGGCGTAGCTGATCAACGCTTCACGCAGGTCTTTTTCCTTCTGCTCCTTGAACCGCTCAATGTCGTTCCATGCTTTCTCCACAAACTCTCTAACGATACAAACACAAACTATTATCAGTCTGTCTGTCAGGAAGAAAAACAACCCAGGATAAGTGAGAGAAAGAGGAAACTAACAATGGATGATTTGGTATACTCTTCAGTTATTCATGTGCTACTTCCTCTTTTTTGTATTCATGCAGGTGGCTTTTGTATATGAAACCACTGACTAGACAGACAGCTGTGCAACATCATAGAAATGCATTATTGACTACAGGGCTCAAAGCGACACTCAGCAGGGTTTGTTTGACAGGGACAAGCTTCTAAGCAGACACAGCGTGGCAGGTAACCATGTCAGAAAAGAAAAGACAGGAATTCTGGACTCAGTCCTGCACTATGAAGAGACACAAATAATGACTCATAAGAGCTTAAAAGGTAGCAAAGCACTATGAAGAGACACAAATAATGACTCATGAGAGCTAAAAAGGTAGCAAAGTCTTTGTTTTTGTCTCACGCTGACTGCGTGTTATCAAAAATTTCTCCATTAAACATTAGCCACCTAACAAACTGAAAGATATCCACAATGAAATCTTTTAAAATGCATAAAATGCAAATCTAGATGTGTGCACAACATCTGAATAACTTGCAATACTCAAAGTCATGATGACTATTTTCTCAGCAATATACATGTGAACTCTGGATTCAGAGTTGACATGGACCCTAACAAGTGAGCTGCCTATGTAGAAAAAGAAGTGCATTAATTCAATTCTAAGAGCATGTTTTCATTACAGTCAATAAAATTAATCAGAAGTTCCATCACCCCCCAAACCGACAATGTGCAGAGAGA